AACATAAAACTTGATGTAAACATAATAATAATAATAATAATAATAATAATAATAATAATAAAACAATAAATATCAACATTATTATTATTATTATTATTATTATTATTATTATTATTATTAGAAGTAGTAACAATAGTAGTAGTGGTAGATGGAGTAGTAGTAGTATTATATGTCCATCAAATATATTCAGTGCCATTATTTTGTAGGTTTAGTTGGTGTTTATTCAGCAGAGGACTTAACTCGCTTTGACCAGAACCAATGAACAACTTGCATAGCTAAAGAGGATCAGCAAACAACCAATCACGTAGCTTCGGGGGCGGGACTAAAACAGCCCAGTCAGTTGGAAAACAGCGTCCAAGTAGCTTCAGGAGAGCCAGCCGACCGTTTGTCTTCTCAAGGAATTCAACTTCCAGAAAAGAAAATTCAGGGTTTCTGTTGGCAAAAAGAGGCTGGGTACCTTTCACCTTTTTCCTCAGATAGAATATTCTTCTCAGTTACTGTGTGTATTATCGCCTAAACACCTGCTTAGTGTCAGTGTTTAGCCGAGATCAGCTAAATTGTGGCTGCCTCAGCGCTGTATGTGCGGTAACAACATGTCAGCGCCTTTACCTGCCATCGTGCCTGCTGCCCGGAAAGCCACTGCGGCGGTGAGTAATAGAGTCGTGTCAGAGAGCAAACTTTCTATTTAAAGTCGATCAAATCCTCAGTTGCTGCCTTTAAAGAGTTAAAGAACAGAAGCTGCTCAAAATTTGACAGCTGCCAGTCTCTACCTCATGTTTACAGACGTGCATGTTCTGATTTATAGGTCATTTTTCTGCATGGCCTTGGTGATACTGGGTAAGTCTTCCTGATTTTTTTTTTTTTTATCAGATTCAGAATAATTTGTGTTAAAGATAAGCTAACAGTGCTTCTGCTTGATTTGTTTGTTATTGTTTCAAATTTGACAGACATGGATGGGCAGAGGCATTTGAAGGCATTAGAATACCTCATGTGAAATACATCTGTCCGCATGCGTAAGTGCTCCTGGTGTGTTTGTAGAGCAAATTATGCCTTTAATATATTCAGTACCTTCACTTGCACTGCAACTCGCATTAATTCTTGCAAACATGTCTGAACCTGCAGTCCTACAATGCCTGTTTCTCTGAACATGAGGATGTCCATGCCTTCATGGTGAGACCCAAGACTGATTTTACTTATGTATTTATTTTTGAAGAGATTCAGAGTTCCAGAATGTTAATGTTTGTTTTTATTTAATGGTATGAAAAGTGCAGATTGAGTTTCCAGGGGCACATTTTAGGAGGTGCACCAATTTAAAATTGGGCAAATTTTTGATCACTGATTGTCAACTTTTTTGTTTTTTAATTTCTGACTTGGTTTGCTTTTTAGAATTATAGATGACAGTGAAATACTTCACTTCCATCTGTTATTTTTGTCTTCACCATAATCTTTAAATGGAAAATTGGAGCAATTATATGTGAATAACTTTCAAAAGAATCAATGAAAATCTACAAATTGAGAAAAATTTTGCAAGTGTTGATCCAGATCAGGTTGCTATTCATAAATTCGACTAAGTAGTATTAAAACAAATTTATTCATTCCTTTCAAAACCTGAATTATTGCTCTCTTTGCACTCCTCAAAATGTTGTGTAAAATTTCCAACAGAAGACTTTTTATTTACAAGATTAAATTAAAAATAACTGTGTATTTGAGAGAATGGATTATACCAGGACCGGATGTGGTGACAACTTTTGTGTGGAAAAAGTAGCAATTGTCACACAGTTTTGCAAAGTAAGTATAAAACTCTAATTTAATTGTATTAATAATTTGAAGTATTAGCTTTATTAAAACTGGATTCTCTTTGTAGATTTTTCCTAGAAGCTGTTAAAGCCTTTTGTGCTTCTTCATATTTCATGTATAAGCATGAAATGTGCTTCTTTGTAGCTTTCTAGGTTTCTTACTTCACAAACAACATCCACACTTAGGAGTCACATCTTGTAACATTTACATCAGTATCGGCAGCTGATGGTCACTTTTCAACAAATCATATCTGTTTGATTAGTAAAACTGGGCTAATATAAGTAACCAGTGTTTATTTCCGTCTAGTTGCTGGTTGGAAGGGGATTGCCCGGGTGGTATTTGCTAGTTCATGTGACTGTGATGCAACATATTTTAATATCCGTGTATTCGTACTTCACAGTGATTTTGATGCTTAATCCACTATTTATAGGTTTGATATCTACGGGTTGAGTCCAGAGGCCGAAGAAGACGAGGCTGGTATCAAGAGAGCCTCTGAAAACGGTAAGTTTAAATAATAGTTTAAAAACTTCCTTTACTCCCATGTCTTCTAATAATAAAGTTGTTGTTTTTTTTCTTCCCATTTCATTGTGTAGTTAAAGCTATGATAGATCAAGAAGTGAAGAATGGGATACCTTCACACAGAATTCTCCTGGGTGGATTTTCGCAGGTAGGCGTTTCATTTTTTTAGAAAGTGTGTGATTGTTATTTAGGCTCCTGGTTTTCCACAACTGTAGAGATCAACAATAACTGCAACCCATCGATTTTTGTGGTTCAGTATTCACAGATTTTTCTGCGGAACACAACTCCAGATTATTTGTGGAAGCTTGCACAGTCGCAGATTTTTGTTTTCATAGTGTTTCTAGCAGAAGCTCAAAACTAATTTCAGCAACTACCAGGTGGTCTTTGTCTGTTCCTGGTGAAACAAATTACTTTAATGATTAAAAAGAATACATGCACTAGGAAAAGTATGGGAATATATTTGTATTGCCAGACTTTTTACCCATTGCATTATTTATATGAATTTAATGAAATAGAGATGACTGATTTATTTATTTATTTTTCTTTGGGGGGGGGTCGTTTTTCTCAGGGTGGAGCCTTGTCTCTGTACACGGCTCTGACGTCTCAGCAGAAGCTTGCCGGTGTGGTCGCGCTGAGCTGTTGGCTTCCCCTCCGTAAATCCTTCCCTGAGGTAGAAAACCAGCAGCACCTCTACATTTACACTTTCATTTGAATGCAGCATCAGAAGTCAGTAAGGGTGAGCGTAGCAGGCACAACAAGCAGAACATGATTGTGACAATTAATAATTTTCTTAAAAATGAGCATGGAAGCTGCCACTTTTTTTTTTTTTCTGAACCGTCCCTTTAATGAAACTATGCTGCAGGGATATTCCCTTCCTGCTCATAATCTGTCATAATCGGATCATAAAAACAATCCTAATCTCTTCTATTCTCAGGCGGCTGCCAACAGTCCTAACAAGGACATGCATGTCCTCCAGTGCCACGGGGATTCCGATCCCCTCGTCCCGTTTGTGTTCGGCGCCCAGACGGCGGAGAAGATGAAAAGCCTCATCAACCCGGCCAACGTCACCTTTAAATCGTACCGCGGTCTACCTCACAGTGCCTGTCCAGAGGTCAGTCTGCAGGCAGTCCTCTCTGAGAAGCAGCAACAGCTCTCGTCCAGTTGACGTTACAGTCTGCGTCTTTTCGTTCCTCTGCAGGAAATGATCGACATCAAGCGGTTCATAGAGAAGCAGCTTCCCGCCGTCAGCGACGAGTGAGTGGCCCCACTCGCTGACTCAGTGCTGTCCGAGTCCTCTGGTCTCGACTCCTCTGAGATTTGGTGGACTTGACGACCATGAACTGTACCTGACAGTAAATGTGTGCTGCTGCTCCATAGACCCAGAGAGACCGGGGGTTTCCTGTTAGCCTGCAGAACAGCCTGACTGAGACAATGCTGCAGCTCCGCTCAGTGTTACTGTAGAGGAGTACTGTAGCTGCTTGATCGCAAAGCATGTTGCCACTGAGACGAGCCATTTTTGCAGGAACTGTATGTATTATAATGACTAGGGCTAAACTTTTAAGTTTAATACTGACACTCTCACAATAAATGGCCTGTTGTAAAAAAGAAAAAAAGCTTTTGTAATTCAAATAAGTGTATTTATGAACGGCATGTCCCTTTGGCTACAGGAGTTTCTTTAGCAAAATTGCCGTTTTGTAGAGATGCAGCGATCAAGCATTTTCTGGATGGTACAGATTTTCTTTCCAATTTTATTTCTTTTCTGTTCTTAAGACTGCAGCAAATGGCAAAAATATGTTGCATTTTCCTTGACAGAGAGGGAGTATTTTTGAATCCTACTGAAAGTAAATTGCAGGAGGGTTCCAGCCCAGTCCGGATAGGTATCAAAAACAGAACTTGCATTTTCCTTTTTCTCAAGATAAAAAAAAACAAAAAACTATGAATTTACATTATTTTGCTTCCAGATCATGCTGGTTACTTTTGATTTGCCACACTACTTTATTGCTGTCTTTGGAGTTGATGTCTACGAACCGACAGGCAAATGTGCACACATTACAGAATAAAAAAGGGGCCATTTCAGTGCTACTGTTTTTTGGCTTCCACATTCTCGTTACGTTTTAACCTAGATTTGCATTTGTTAATCACAGACTGTGCTTTAAGAACCATATTTATCTTAGGAAAGTCCATGCTGAGTTTTCGAAGTTCAGCTACTAATTGGTCTAGTTGTCAACAAACGGTGAAATACTCCATTACCATATTATTGCATTTAAAGCCAACTCTAATGCTGTGGTGGTCAGTTTGGTGGTTCAGAAGGATAATCAGTCCAAACACACATCCAGACTGTTATTTATTTATTTTTTTTATCAAATCAAATAGGCTAACTAGCCTAGCCAAACCTCAACGCTAAAATAACTGAACCTCACGCAGTAAACCTGCTAATTTAAATCAAATCGGCTGATTCTACTGAGGAGAGTGGTCAAATATCCAGCAGAATTATAACCAAAAAGTAGAGAGGGTGCATTTAAATTTTGAGAAAAAAACCCTCCATCAAAATAAATAATTAAAAGCCCCATATTAACCATACTAATGCACATAATGCATTCATACAAGTTTCTATATATCTAGTTGGTTAAGGGGTGTAAATGGGTCACTGAAGTAACCCAATAAAGAATTCACAAAACATTTAATTAATGCTCATATCAAATGAGAGCAAGAACATATGATTGTGCTTTATTTAATTCGTGAGAATTCAAATAGCTATTTCACACAAATTCCCTTTTTTTATATCTTTAAATCATACATAAATATATCAGTGTTCATGGTCATGTATTCAGCATATTTTTCCCTGTTCTGTTGAAATTAAATATATGACTAATATCACAGTATTGAAACACACAGACGAGATCGATTTCTGGGTATCAGCTCGTCGAGTTGTAAAAACCTTTCATATATATATATATATATATATATATATATATATATATATATATATATACATGTGTGTCTTTGAGAAGAGCTGAAAGCACCAACATGTGAAGTTGTCGCACCGTTCACGTCGGACTAAAAGGTGCTTGTGTAGAAGATGTTGATCCAAGGCACTTTCCTTTCTTCCTAAGGTACATTTAAATAAAACCTACAAGTTTCTACAAGAACTGAATATGCATTAAGGCTCACAATATACCTAAATACAAATGCAGTGCTCACAGATACATGCTTTCCCGCTTTAAATAAGGTAGAAAAGTGCAATGTCAAGCGCTAGGGAATATATTTATATATATTTATATATGTATAAAAATATAGATATGTTTTCTGAACAAATACAGTAACAGATGCCGAACCTAGCTTTTGTTCTCGGTTGCTCTGAAGGATTTGAAAATCCACTAATCATGCGGAAATAAACAGCAGTTACCAGCTGGATAAAGACTGGCTTTCAGCTGGGTTCATTTTCCTGTCTGTCTTTCTCTAAATAGCAGGTCTCTGACTTTTTACACAGAAGCTCCTCCTTTTGTTTGAGTATGTGTGTGTTTTTTTTTTTGGGGGGGGGTATGCATGCGCTGAAAAGCTAACGGTGTGGCAGTGGAGAGAGTTTATGGCTCGGGGGGAGGCTCCTCCAAGCTGTTCAGCAGATCCGTGTACGCGGGTGAGTTTATGTAGCGAGGGTACGAGTCTCTCTGCATCAGCGTGTAGATCTGCTGCTGAGCGTCGTCGAACGTGCACGAGGTCGGCTCCAGCATGTTGCGGTTTATCACCTCTCGGACTCGGGAGTCCAAGCTGACCTGTAGGTTCAAGGAAACGGTGAGACGTTGAGTATAAACGACGTATAAGGGAAGTCGAAAAGCTTTTAGGGTAAAAAGACTTTCTAAACTACGTTGCTTTGTTCGACTTCACCAACCACAACCATCCCTGAAAAATGATGGAATTACGGAAATCAAACAGAATAAAGTAAAAGATCTCAAATAGCAACACATCATGCTCCGATGTAAAAATGTTCAAGAACAGATGTTCAGTTGGAGGAAATCCTTCAAACTTTAATGTATATTACAATTAAAACAGCAAGGCAGAGGGTACAACCAAATCAAATAACTACATTATTCCCTTTTCAGATGATTCTTTTTGTCCTCTATTTCCTGATAAATGTGCCGCTAAATTTAACAGGATTAAACCTCCTCTTTGAATTTTTGTCTCACCTCTTTCGGGGACAGAATGGAGATGAAGTCCTCGTATATTTGGCGGACTTTCTCCTCCACCACCGTCTTATTCGTCTCTTTCTTCAGATCCTCGCAAGCGAGCCAGAACATCATGTTCTCTTCGCTGAACTCCGTCCTCAGGAACTGCCTGAAGCAGCTTCGCCCAGCTGCACTTTTCATCAGCTTCTCGAACGACACCGCCCAGGAGCGAGCTTCGTCCACAGTGGGTTTCGGGCTGAGGGATGAGTGAAGAATTCGTTTTTGCAAAGACAGTTTGGTTTCTTTAAAAGTCGTTTTTAGAGGAGTTGAAGTGGGACTTGCCTTTCTTCACAATTGGAGTTCCCTTCTGGCTGCTGCTCAAACGTTGACCTCTGTATGGTTTCTTCGTCACCTCTAACAGTCAAACTGAAAAGATTGAGAGGAGGCATTATGTCTGAGCAGTCAAAACAACTGCAGGGATATTCAATCCCATCTTTTTGTTTGTAAAACCGAGAATGTTGACCAACATCTTGAGTAATTTCCCAAGATACTGCTTCGTAGCAGACAGACGTTACAGTGACCTTACTAAAGTATTTATAAACCTTTAGCTCCTTCAATTTTCTTTCACATTTGACCCAGAAACCTAAAATTGATCAATGATACGTGGTTGATAGGATTAGGGTTGCTCTCCATTAAGTCAGACCAAACTTGAGCTATCTTGCAAAGAACAAATTTTGAAGACCGCATTCTATTTTCCTTCCACTTCACAGTTGCGCGCTTTGTGCTGTTTTGTCTTATAAAGTCCCATCGTTGGACTTTGGCTGCTATTTCACTTATTTTCAGTCCAGAACTCCACCTAGCACTTGCATTACACTACAGGTACAGAGTCAGGATGGTTACAGAACCCACACATCCTGGACACAAGCAGTTTGAATCTTTATCTTGATGTCAGGGTTTCAGGGCTGTATTTGGAAAAATAAGTAGCCACAGAGACAGTTTCTTCCCCCAGATTCTCTCTCTGTGATGAACACAATGAACACTGTACAGCCAGAGAAGTCAGCCACTGCTGTGAACCAAAATAAGCATCTTTGCACTCCCACATCTATTCTTCTTTTCCCTCCATTCTATCCTTCTCTCTCTTTTTCTTCCTTTAATTCTTTCTTTCTATATGAAAATTGGCTTTGAATACATTTATATATTATTTCTTTTATCCATTACTTTATTAAGTCAGCTCTTGAAGCCAAAGTCAAATTCCTCCATTGTGCACACAGTCTTGGCCAATAAGTTTTGATTCTTCTGAATGACAGGTCAAGACCACTCTGAAATGCAACTAGACGGTCTGACTCCCCTGATGCAAAGTGAAAGCAGGCATCTCAAAAACATTTACGCAGTCAGATATTTATCTGGACGAACTGATGTTTGTTCCTCTTTCAAATTGACTCAGCACGTATGGCAGGTTCACGCCGATCCGCTGGGTCCACCTGCGTCAATGATAAAATGTGTCAACTACCTTGTTGCCCCCATGGGTCTCACCTGTGCGTAATTAAAAGCAATTCGCCGCCTCTGCTGCAGCAGCTGGCCCCGGAGTAATTGGTTCAGGTGAGAGTCCCCCTGCGAGCCATCCCAAGTGGGAATGTGGCTGCTGCGCAATGATTAAAACCAAATTCATATACAAGTAGAGATTAAATGAATTGCTCATCTCCTGTGGAGTGCATTAGAGTGGCTGCTCCCAGAGGAAGCTCAAGTCAGCCATGGATAACTGGCAAAACAGGTTAAGTCCCCGGAGACGGCTCTGCGTGTGACCACTGAGGTCCTGTTGTTCTGGGAGGAAGGGTGGAGTTGAGTACGATCTTTCAACCCTAAGAAGTAGAGTGAAAGATGGAACTCTTTCCTCCTAAAGAAACCATCCGGTCCTGGCTAGCATCTCCCCAAACTTTGCTGGAGAATGTTTTATGGTCTGAAGGAGCAAGACTGGAACTTTTGTAAAGAAAGGAACACCATGCCCACATGGAGCATGGCGGTGGAGGTGTCATGCTGCGGGGTTATGTTTCTTCAGATGAAACTCAGGGTTTTATCTGAAGCTGAACTCGTATGCAAAACACTTTGTCAGCTTTTTATCTCCAAAAGTTTTAAAACCCAAGTATAATTTCTCTTCCATTCCACAGTCCTACGCTGCTTTATGTTGGCAATTCCTAAAAGTCTGAATAATGTAGTTACCGGTACATTCATCTGCAAGGCAATCCAATTGCAATAAAACTAGTACCCAAAAATAGTTTCCAACGTTAGTCTGAACAAAGAACATTAACTATAATCATATTTAGCACCGGTTGCTAGATGTCCCCAACGGTGCTGTGTGTCTGTTACCAGGAGCAGCTACAGCAGCAGCACCAGCAGAAGCAGCAGGCGTTTGAGGCGTTGGTGGGGGTGTTTCCCATTTTGTGGCGCGCTTGGAGGACACTGGCAGCTGCTTCCTGATGAACCTGCATCTGTCTCTTGCGCATCTCCGCCCTCTCTGAGCCCATGGACTGCAAGGAGAGGAGCACCACAGAGTTAGAGGGAGGTTGGAGCTTTCGCTGGAGTAAAAGCATGAAGAGCAGCTCTGACAGGAATAAGGTGACAATGAGAAGAGAGCATTAAAATGGTAATAGGATCACATTAGATTGGGTAAAGAGGCAAATCAATCCCTCCATCCATCTGCAAAATTTGCTCTAAGATCTGGAATTCATGGCAATTTCTATTAGCCATTCACACTCCTGGCAAAGGAAAAACTCATTCTTGTTTTTGAAAATGACAGGATTTCTGCACATCAAGGCCTTTTGCTGACAAGGTTCTGGTTAAATTTCTGAAAAGATTTTAAGTGGATTCAGACAAAAAAGTAAAAAATAAAAGGTCTTATTTTTCGTCTCTAGGCAGTTCACTGTCTACAGCTTCTTATAAGAGAACTATCCTGCATGTTTAGTTGATCTACATTGGAAACATTCAAGGTGGACGATACTAGAAGTCTACGCAGTTCCAGACCATGGATGCCCTTCTTGAAGGCATCTTCCAACATTTCACATCAGCGTAACGGAAACAGTCAGATCAAGCATCTTTAATAAGATGTTTGAAGTGATCTACATGAACAGTTGGGCTACTTACTGAGTCCTTTTCTGACACTTTTTTGCTTTGTGAGGTTATGATCGTAAACTTTAGACCAGTTGATGGAACAGCTTGTTTGAGATTCGTCTATTTTATTTTTGTCTCCTGCTCGTGTTTCTTCTTTTTGCATTTTGAATTCAGGGTGGACTCACTGATGTGCTTTGAATTGTAGTTCTCATGGGGCTGGACATTCTTCTTCAGAACTTTCTTCTAGAGCCAAATTCATGGTTCTGTTGACTACGTGCAGCTCCTGACCATCATAGTACCGCCACCAAGATGTTTGACTGTAGACATGATGGTCTTCTTCTGAAATGCTGTGCTAGTTTTTATCAGATTTATCCGGATCCATGTTTTCCTAAAAGTTCATTTTTTGTTTCCTCAGTTCATATTATGTTTCCCTAAAATCTTGAAGATCATCCAGTTGGCGATGGGCATTTGAGTATTTTCTTTTCAGACTTTGTTCAGCCATGGCTCTGTCCTTACAACTTTTCCATGGATGTATTTTTCCCCCAGTCTCTCTCCTGTTATTGAATCGGGAACACTGACCTTACCAGAGGCAACTAAACTCTGGTGCTTTAAATGGTTCGTTTGTGACTCCTGGGACAAGTCATTGGTCGGCTCTTGGAGTAATTTTGGTAGGTTAGCAACTTCTGGAATAGGTTCCCCGTTTTTTGTAAGATCTCTTTAGTCTTGGGTGTGAAATTTGGCACAATAGTCCTCTAAAAAATATGGTTAAACCCAGTTGCTTCTTTATCTCTTATATTCTTCATCTCTCTTTTTTAAAGCTAACAGTAAATTAGTTAAATGGTCTGACATTAAAAAGCATACAGCACTGAGTAACATATGAGTTGCATTCTAACTGAATTGCCTTTTCAATGATATTCCTGAGAATAACTTATATTTGTTTCCACCTGTTACAGCAGATGCATTTTGTAGAATGCATTTCGACATTCAATGCCATTTTCTGTGCAGTTTTTTAGGTTCTGTTAAGACATCTTAGTGGAAAGTATAAAGGAAACTAATGTCAGATGCATCCAAAGCAAACTGGATTATGCTGAAAGGTAAGAAAAAAAAATCCAGAAAGAATCCCAGCATGAGGAGCAGCTCCCCTCCTCTCTGTCAGAGAGCGGTTATGACAGCGGCTCGGCGTCACTCCTTGGACCGCAGAGATCGCATCCATCAGTTGCATCCTCGGGAGGATACGCACGCGTGATGGCACACACAAGCATAGCTCTCAGCCCAAAGCGAGCGGCCATTTATAGAAATACAATGAAATCATTTGATCAGAAGGGCTGATAAGATGTTGCTTTCCTCCCCCCTGTGTTTCTCTTTTAGGCAAATAGCCCTGAAAAATAAAACCTGAAAAGGTCTAAATCGGTTTAATTAGCGACGATTACACAGAAGTCATGATGAATAATTCAGGAACATTTATATGGATGCTGGAACATCCAGAAAAAGATGCTCCTCAATTATCCGCGTTTTATTTTTGTTTAAAAAAAGAAGCGTAAATGCGATAATCTTCTTAAACAATCATGTTATATGGAGGGGGGAAAAACAATCCAATAAATCGATTACTTACTGTGTCACCATGAATGCCAGAATACAGGTGATTTTCAGCTCGATCACATCCGTCTGCCTCCGACTTGACACAAACCAGTTGGTTTCCTCTCCGCGCATGCGTTCCCTGCAAGTGTGAAAAAGATTTCTCTGCAACCACATGCATGCAGGCACGGCCACAACACGATCTGTTGAAGCCACGGGAACAAACTGAGAGCCTGCAAGACTTCTTCATGACACAAATCAACTCTCATGACTCCAGCACTGATCAGAAATCTTACTGGAAATACAAGCAACAGATGCCGATTATAATTCAACTGGAAAGAAGCAAATGTGTTATAGCTTCAAATAAATAATAGATTTTTTTTTTTTTTATTGGAGGACAGCTTTTGCAACTCGATATGGTTCTGAATCTCTCAAGCTGATAATATTTCCTTCAAATACCAACACATTTTGCGTGTCAAGGCTCAATTCTGTC